TTGTTTTTAACCTTGTGCGATACTAAAACCATGTTGCCTTAGGAGTCGGAACTCGAGAGCATTCGTGTACAAGTCCTCTGATCTCTTTCGTTCTATTCCGTTCTCGTGTCTCAAAATTTTCACGTGCACATTAGTTAGAATATTCTTGATTTCATGTTCGAAATGGTAAGAAACTCCGAGTCTTTGTAAAGTGTCCACGAGCTCTAGTTGTTCGAGTAAAACCTTCGTTTCATTCAGCATTTTCCTCACTTCTTGCTGCAGTAACTTAACTCTCTCATCGATGTTGTCCTTTCTCTGCATGGTATCAAATATTATCATTATAATTTATAAAGCTTCACAAATGTTAATTTATTATATATTTATCATGTAGGTTTCTGAGTCAAAACATCATCTGTTGACGAGTTAATGTACGTACCGCATGTGCATTACCGAGCGAGAGGAGATACTTGTGTTTCCATAGAGACGGTTCATAGTTTGCAGAGCGACGGGCTTCAAGAGGCGGTGACTGTGTTTTCGATGAAGCCTCACGAGTGAAACGCGGACAAGACTGTCGTTTAGGCATTTTTGCTTAGCTAATGATTAAGATAAATATACTGTTTAAGGTTTGAGGTTATATTACTGTCTTTAGACCCCAGGGTGATATTTATACTGTTTAAGGTTTGAGGTTTCAACCACAGGTGATCATGGAGATATTTCCATACATGTCTGTTTTCTTAAAATGATATACATTTAAAAAAAAAACTATTTTTCGACACATCAAAAATTCTTCCACACAAACATATCTTGGAGTAGTGGCTAAAACATTTTGAAATTGTATATCCACACAAACATCTTAGGTTTTTTCGCTTTCAACATCCCAAAAAATATCTGAAGTTTTAATCAAAGTCTGTTATGTAATTGTAATTAACATGATCACCTGATCATATTTTTACACGTATAACAATTTTTCTAATTAAATTTTTGACATGTGCCAAAAAGGTATATATTGTCTATTTTTGTTCTTATCACATTTTTGAAATGGATTACTAAAACAATTTAAATAACCATTACCATTATATTATGTGCAATATAATGCATATTGTTATATTTATTTTATTTTAGACTTACGGTAAAATATGTAAAAATAATATGTTGATTCCGAAAAAGAGTCAAATATGATTTAGAAGATGAATAAATATAATTCAAATATAAATATGGGACAATGGAATTTGTCAAGATTTTATAAAAAAATAGATATATAAGTAGGTATATCAACAAACGTATGTAGGTATATAGATGGTGGTAAGATAAAATGACATCACACATCATACACTGAAGGGGACGATCTTGTTATATAGATGGTTCTCAAAATGGTAAACAAATAAATATACGATCTTAATAAATTTGAAAAGAAATATAAGAGATTAGTTGGATTCAATAAGAGATAACTGGGATATGATTGATATCCT